ACATGTACGCATGCAGCATACACACAGAAAACATTCAGTACACTACACTCACATGCACACTCACTTGCACATACATGCACATGAGTGTGCACTTGCATTCTTGCAGACCCTCATACACTTGTGTCACACACCCACCCACCCATGCAACATACACGTGCATGCTCATACTTGCATGTACTCATGTGTGTATAAATACATGCTGCATATTTGGATGCACACACAAGATGTGCAAAGCCATAAATGTACACCAGTCGAAACAGTCATAATTGCAACACACTTGCAACACACTCATGACACACATGCCTGTGTCTATTTTCAGCACACAACATACACGATACACTCATGCACATGCATGTGCAGTTGAAACACATGCAATATTGCACACACAGGCACACTTGCAACACAAAACAGCATCATATATACACAATACTCTTGCACAAACTCATACTCTCATGCACATATGCACTTACATCATACTTGTACCCAGATCACACTCACCATGCAACATGACAGAGGCAAGCTCACATACACACACACACATTCACTTAATGTGCAGACACTACATTCATACATGCAGGTACATATACCACACTCACATATGCACTGAGACACACATACAAAGACCTGACTGGGTGGAAAGCCGCTGTTTAGCTGTTAATCTTGATCTCTATCTTCACTCCTTCCATTCTGCTGCTAAGTCTCAAGTTTATTGATGCACTTTTATTCTGTGCCCCCTGCTCTCAGGATCTTGATACCTGGGCTAACCACTGAGTTGGAATTAATTTAATGTCTATGCTTTTCTGGTAATACTCTTTAACTATGACTTCAAGTCACAAGCCCTGAGGAAGCTAAGAAAGTTTTCATTCTCAGACTTTACACCAGGGTAATGTTCGTAAGATCTTACAAATTGCTGAAACTATTTCTTTTTGAAACAAGGTCTTGCTCTCCAGGCTGGAATACAGTGGTGTGATCACAGCTTACTGTAGCCTTTAACTCCTAGGCTCAAGCAGTCCTCCCACCTCAGCCTCCTGAGTAGCCAGGAATACCGGCACATGCCACCACACCTAGCTAATTAAAAAATTTGTAGAGATGGAGTCTTGCTATGTTGCCCAGGCTGGTCTCAAAACTCTTGTGCTCCAGTGATTCTCCTGCCTCAGCCTCCCAAAGCACTGGGATTACAGGTGTGAGCCCCTGTGCCCAGCCTTAAAACCGCGTCTTTAACTGTGGACAAATATCTATATTTTTTCCTATCTAAAGTCTGAAAAACTCAAGTATTCATGGAAAGACCAAATTGGAAGTCATGAGACACTACTGAATTCATTTTAAATGAATAACATTGTAAGGAATATTTTAAAAATGAACAGTCTCTTTCAGATAGTCTCAAAAGTTTCATCATTTCCTTCCTGCACATATGGGACTGTGATCTGTACCAGAAGCAGGGAGTGTGTGTCTCCTTGCTCTGTGATGCAGAAATGCTCTCCAGGGTGACCTGTGCAGATGCAGGTGGGTCCCACCCACCATGGCTCCATGAATAAAAAGGGCATCAGACACAGAGGCAGAAAACCAAGTAGAAATGGCTAACGGACCTGTTTGACCACTGAATTCCACAATGGTGGTCTTCCTCTGTAAGGCTTCACTCTCCTCCTCTCTCAAGGAAATTGCATGTGCATACCAATAAGCTAACCTTCTCCAGAGTAATTAGATGATAATTGGGCAGGTGCCTTGGAGCTCCCAAGTGAGTGTGCCATTAAAGTGACAGAACAGTAATTAATCCCGTGATAGAACCTAATGCAGATCAAGTGAGAAAACCAGCATCCCATTTTTATAGGAAGAATAACAAGAAAGAAATAGGGTCAATTTTTTTGGTGGCTCTCATTTCGTGCCCACCAGCTGCTGGCCTTGGACTGTCTGACTTTCTCACCCTCTATAGTCAGCTGCCCTGGGCCTGTGGATCAGAAGAGGCAAGTCCTCTGTCATCACCCAGCTGCCAGAGCTCAGTGACAGCATCTGCCTCAGTCTGACACTTAATAGAGTTCCTTGACATCGTCCTCACAGGTGCCTGGGAAGACTGGTTTTACTGCACCTGTTCTGAGCACCCTCAAAGCTCCTGCTGAAATGCAATTCCCAGGGTTGGAAGTGGGGCCTAATGGGAAGAGTGGGAGTCATATCGGTGGGTCCCTCAAATAGGTGTAGGACCTCCCTGGGGGTGAGCAGGTTCTTGCTCTACCAGCTCCCAGGTGAGCCAGTGGCTAAAGAGTCTGTTTCCCCCATCCCCTCCTCCCACCGCATGATCTCTGCACATGAAGCTTCTTTCTCTCCATTGTGAGTGAAGCACCCTGAGGTGTGACCAGAGGCAGATGCAGGTACACTTCCAGCAGAGCCTGCAGAACCCTGAGTCAAATACACTTCTTTTCTTTATAAGTCACCCAGCCTTAGGTGTTCCTTACAGAGACTGAAACGGACTAAGGCAAGAGGGAAGCTGAGGTGACAGAGAATAACACCTCATCCCAAAGGAGCTGACTTCTGACCTGTGTGACCCAGAGTCCCCTTCTACCAGTGGCTTCAGCACAAGGCATGTTACATGCTGGTAAAGGTCAGAAGTAACACTGGAGATTAAAGCTGGATGACATTTTTACCTGGGAATATTTAAGGGAGGTTTAAGGAAGGAGAGGGTGTTGGAGCTGAGCTTGGAAGACTGGAGGGAAGGCCCCTGAGGCCAGAATCCCTGGAGTGGGCTAGGGACCGTGGGCTGCAGGCTGTGAGTGGTTGCTGGAGGCACTGGAGGATGAGGGTGGGACACCCCTGAGTTCTCTGGACTGGGATTAAGGGAGAAGAGGCCCAGCCAGATGGAGGGGGCAGAGACAGACACAGTCAGAAAGGTCAAAGAAGAGAACATCGTGAGGAAAAAAAGGAAAAGGAATGAGAGAGTGAGAGCAGCCCCAGGAGCCGGGAGGGAAGGGTAGCATCTCTCACCCAAGTGCACGGGAGGAAGAGCGGCACCGGCTGCCTCTGGAGGCCAGCAGGGAGCAGTTCAGGGGTGCCCGGGCAGGGCCTGGTGAAAGGAAGTCCCTCTGCCATGCAGAGCTGGACTTTGTTTTTGTTAAGTAAACAAAACAGCTTTGTAAGTAAAATGCTGAGGACACAGGGAGGGTCTGAGTCTTGTGAAGACATCAGCATCCAAGGAGCTCCCCTTAGTGCTGCTCAGACAAAGGCAAGAGCCAGCACCAGGAGTGCTGACGGGAGCCATACGGTGGCGTGTGGGAACCTGACCTGGACGGTGCGCTCTTGTTCCCTACGTACACTCACTTCCATCTCAGATGCTCTCCAAAGGAGCTAGCAGCAGAGTCAGGGCAAAGTTTGCTCTTTGAGGGCCAGGTCATAGACAGAACTGCACAAATGTGTTCTTTGATGAGCTACTGCTCACTTCCTCAGGAAGTTATATAATTACAAGATGTTTTCCAAAGAATTCTTATGGGGAGTTAAGCAGATTTGTTTTAAAGCCCAAAAGTAATTATTTAGAAAATTGTACGCCCAGAAACAAGTTATCTAATCTCAAATGGCATTTCTGATTTCTCTAAGAGTTCCAGTCTGAACTTTGTCCCTGGCAGGTGGTGAACCTGGGACAGGTGATATCTCTGGCCCTCAGCCTGTAGGGCCTCTCTAGGGCTTCTAGGTGGCCACCACTTATCTGTAATTTCTTAACTGTGCAGCCAGTGGGTCTGTCGACCGGAGGTTCTGATACAAGAGCCACAGGGCGAGGCACACATCCACGAGTGTGAACTGTCAGGGTAGCCATGGCTCCTGGGCCTGGGAGCTCTCAGCCACAGGCTGTTTAATGCAGGCTGCAGGGCAGCATCTCTGCCTCCCTCCACCAGATGCCAGCTGAGCCACTGCTCACATTGTGATGACTGAAAATGCCTCCAGGCACACCAGACCTCCCCGGGGGCACAAGTACACACAGCAACACGTCACAGAGCAGCTGCTGATGGTGATAAGGGCAGACACCACATCCCACACACTTCACCTAAGCCACAGTGAACGGGAATGTCTGGTCACCAAGTGGAAAATGACCTGTTTCAATGGGGAAGTCTGCAGTAAAAATGACAGCATTCTTTCCTTCCTCTCTGGAGGAAGGTGAGCAGGTGAAATTTCATCTGAGCAGGTGAGATTTCTCTAAAGGTCTTTTCATCCTGCTCAACCCTATCATCCCTGCTTCCTGGAGACGTCCTCACACTCTCACCAAGAACTCCACTTTTCTTCTCCAGGGCCGCTTAGGAGGCCACATAGAAAAGGTGATCCCTAACCCCTATTCTAAGCACCTTCACAAAACATTTCCATTCATGTAAAGAAATGTGGGCATTTCTTTACATGAATGGGCATTTCTTTACATGACATTTTATGAGAGGTGCAAAATGATGCCTGACTAAAATGGCCAAGGAAAAGAACCAAGCACCTGCCCCCAGGTGAGACAGTCAGATAAAGCAGCTCTGGCCACATTCTTCCTGCCACTGCTGTCCCGCAGCAGGTTTCTTTTTCCCTTTTTTTTTTTTTTGAGACAGAGTCTTGCTCTATTGACCAGGCTGGAGTGCAAAGGTGTGATCTCAGCTCACTGCAACCCCTGACTCCTAGGTTCAAGCAATTCTGACTCAGCCTCCCAAGTAGCTGGGATTACAAGTGCCTGCCACCAAACCTGACTAATTTTTAGTGGAGACAGGGTTTCGCCATGTTGCCCAAGCTGGTACCAAACTCCTGATCTCAGGCGATCAGCCTGCCTTGACCTCCCAAAGTGCTGGGATTACAGGAGTAAGCCCCTGTGCCCAGTCAGTTTTCTAATTGCAAAGTTCAGGCCAATGCCTAACTCCACCACATCACTCACGACGGCCATGCTCTGAGCAGATAAACATCACACGCACCACTTCTCCTACACGGATACCTGCATGCAAGACCACAGAACAGAAAATAAAAAGGGAAACAAGAAAAAACCCAGCAGCATACAGTACCTGTCATGCCTCAGGGCCCTCATGTCCACGTAGACAGTGGTTGGGTCAGGTCCTGAGGTCCCCTGCAAGCAACAACACAGGGTGGTTAGTTCAAGTTTACATGGAAGATCAGGGTCAATGCTTCTTCTAGCTGGGAAACATTTCTTTGGTAAAATCTTAAAGTGAAAAATAAAACTAAAAGCATTTATACCAACAACCTCTCCAAGGCACCACCTGTTAGCTTTCAGTCTGATAACCTAAATTCCAGAAGGAATACCTGATTAGGATAATACTGGATTCACACAGCTTGACCACAGATACACAGAAAAAGGAGAGAGAAGAGATAAGCCACACACTGTGCCAATTAAAAGGAAACTGCCAGGATGGCGGCTGGAGGCAAAAGCAGGTGGGAAGGGTATGAAGCATCTTTGTGGAGAAACTTTTACTACATGCATACACCTTTAAAAACAAAAGGTATATTCTGAGGGCCCAGGGCAGTGAAGATGCGTGACGTGGACGGACAGGTCAGAGAGGAAGAGGTGAGGGCAGCATCTTGATCCTCCGGCCTCAGGAGGACATTTTTGTCCAAGACATAGGTCAGAAAAGGGGTATTTTGTCCTGGTAAGCTACTCAGGACTTTGTGGTCTGAGCCATCGGGGTGTTGATTTTACACAGGGATCCAGAAATCTTATTTTGGCACCATAAATTGCTTGAAAAATTATACCATGCTGACTTCTGACCAGTTACCTCTGTCCAGATAAGAGCAGTCTCATTACAAACCAAAATTGTATGTCCACTTTTTGGGAAGGCAATATAATACCTTGGTTGAAAAAAAGACTGAATCTACAATAAATTTACCAAAAATAAAGAATCTCTTCAGAATTCATTTGAAGAATTACACTAAAATTCTTCAGGAAAGAATTTCAGTTTTTGTACTAAATGCATAAAATTGTCTTACATTGTTTATACATAAGGAAAAAAACCAAAGACAATGTCATTAAGACATACCAGTACTTAGTAACCCTGGGCTGTGGTGTCTCACCACCGAGATCGAGAAAAAGAACAGAACATGCGAGTCAGCTGTGTAGCAAAGCCGCGCCACAGACCAGTGCCGAGCAGAGAACCAGCCACAGTGAGTAATGCAAAATACACAGCCACAGAGGATCAATTAAGAATAAACAAGCAAATGGAAAAGAGGTGGAGAATGAAATAAAACAGAGACGACCCAAACTGGCAAAGGATCCACTGACCGCACTATGGGAAGATAGTGTCGGCTCTGCGTGAGGCCTCAACGCAACACCACCGGTCTGGCAGCACCCATGATCCCGGGGCCCACAGACCCCCCAGCCAATCTCTGCACTCAACTGCTAGTCTGTCCCATGGCTGGATGCGTGCAAGGCAGCAGGGCTAGACAAGGAGGCACGGGTGTGACAGACAGGAAAGTCCCCTACCTGCTCGGCCAGGGTCCACAGCCTGTGAGGCTACAGCAGCAGAAGGGTGAGGACAAGAACAGAGGAGAGAACACCAGATAACAGAAACCCACACACACAACACACAGACACACATGACCCGACAGTGAAAAATGGGACAGAGAAGAGGGAAGGGTGGGGAGGAGAATGCGAAAAGCAGGAAACAAAATGAAAGGAAGATCAAAAACAACATCAAAGATGGAAATCATTAAAAATAATCACCGTATTGTTAAAGGCTAAAAGAAATGTTTTAAAGATGTCAGCGTATCCATAGAGCAACAGAAGAGGCAGCAGCAGGTGACTAGCCGAGTGACTTTCCAACACGTAAGGTAAACGGTGCACTGCATAGTCTCACTCACCGTGCTCTTTCTGAGGGAAGCAGGAGGGCAAGTTTTATTTGCTAAATCTACTAAGGTAGTTCCAAGTTTCTGATTCTAGTAACAAAGGAGGGCCTGCAGTGTTTACATCTTAAATTAGGGCTCTAGACCTATCCACCTACATGATCAGGCGAAAGCAGAGGCCACTGTGCATCTGAAGCCTGAGAGAATCTGACACTGAACTCTCCTGCTCAGCAGCCTCATGAGGAGTTTCCACTCCAGCAAACATCGTCTGTTGCTATTACCCAAACAGACACCACTTTTTGTTTTCTTCTCCTCCTCATCTTCCATGGGTGTGGTCTCTGCCTGCTGCCAGTATTAAATCATCTACCTCAGCTGCTGGACAATTCCAGAAAGCAACCTGGGCAAGCTTCTTGGATGCAAGGTATTTTTCCTTATGTCACTTAGCTGTCTTTCCCAAATATTCCCAAGAGGTACAAAGAGTAGACAATTTTCCCCAGGTGCCTGGACCGATGCACACCTGTTCTTTGTGTGTACGGCCCAGCAGCCACCCACACCCCATGATGACAACAGGCAGACATTAGAGACATAGCCGCAGCAGCCAAAAGGGAGTTCTGAACTGGGATTCTTCAGGCTGAAATTTGGTAACAAAGCCAGATGGAAAAACTGCCACCACTCACAACAAAGCCAAGTCTATGAAAATAAGCAATGACTCAAGATTTAAAAAGAAAACATTCATGATTCCACTTTTCTCTGTTACTTCACTAGGGTAATTATGGCTACCATCCTCTCTCAGCATCCTTATCTTTAAAAAACAGAGGCAGGGGAGGCCGAGGCGGGTGGATCACGAGGTCAAGAGATCGAGACCAGCCTGGTCAACTTGGTGAAACCCCGTCTCTACTAAAAATGCAAAAAGGTTAGCTGGGCATGATGGCATGTGCCTGTAGTCCCAGCTACTCAGGAGGCTGAGGCAGGAGAATTGCCGGAACCCAGGAGGCGGAGGTTGCGGTGAGCCAAGATCGCGCCATTGCACTCCAGCCCGGGTAACAAGAGCGAAACTCCATCTCAACAAAACAAAACAAAACAAAACAAAACAAACAAACAAAAAAAAACAGGCAGGGCATGAAAACAGAAAATAATTGGTCAATAAAGGCATGTACATTTCAAACACATAATGGATTTTTGCTGAATATATTCACGCTGAATGCAGTGATTTAAATAACCCTTCCTTCGTGATTCCTTGAAACCTAAATATTAACTGGAATGAAAGTAAGTCAACATTCTCTCTAAATTATCTTGCTTCAGAAATTCTATTATAATGGCTCAAGGTAGTATCTCAGAAAAAAATGTGCATGGCTAGTACTTCCTTCCCGTCTTGCATCACATGGAGGTGGCAACACTGCACCTGCAGCCAAGTGGGCTGAAGCGTGAATGGAGTAGAATTTGTGAAGGAGGTGAAGAGGAAAGATACAGATGACTCCAAATTACAACATTCCTGAGCTACAAAGTCTGAAATTTCAAGATACATATTGAGTGAGTATTTAACAAAATCTTCATATTGCCAAAGAATGCCATCCTTAAATAAAGAGATCCCTAATGCAAAAGAGTGCCTCTCAGTACTCAAGAATCAAATACTTGCAAAAAGGATCCACAGAAAAACAACATTATCCATTTCAACTAAAACATATCAGAAATAAGATAAAGCATTTTTGAAATTCCAAGTTATGGAAATGAGAAAAAAGGAACCACATTAAAATTCAGTTACATAATAAAAACATTAAAGACTCAGCCTTCCATATCCCTGATTTTTGCATCTTTTGATTTAACCAAACTTGGTTCACAAATATTTGAAAAAACTGCACTAGTACTCAACAGGCACAGACATTTTCTTGTAATAATTCCCTGAATGATACAGTACAACTATGTACACAGCATTTACATCACATTAGGCATTATGTCATTTAGAGATGTTTTAAGGTACGCCAGAGGATGTGCATAGGTTCTATGCAAATGCTGTGCCATTTTCTAGCAGGGACCTGAGTGTCCGTGGACTTAGGTATCCATGGGGAGTCTGGAAACCTGTCCCCTGTGGAAACTGAGGGACAAATGTATATACCAAAAAATAAGTTTCTTACTGACATAAAAGTATTACACCAATTAGGTATTAAGTGCTTTTGGAACAGGTGAGTTGTATTTAAATCTCAGCTGAAGATATACAGACTCACACCCCAAATATCAGCACAGAAAACACAAAATGGCACTAATTTTAGCACTTAAGCTGATTAATGATTATCCTTTTCAGCAATTCACACACCATAGTGTTAGCATAATCTAGTACTTGCACATACCATAGTATTAGCACAATCTAGTACTTAACACATATTTCTACAGTTAAGTAGAAATGTGTGAAAGAACGAACCAGCTCCAAAGAACTGACACTGGGCTTATCTAGTACACTAGGATAGTCTGAGAAGACAAGAAAAAGCTTGTGTTATATGTCTCCAGGCAAATAATATTCCTGAAATTAAAAGGGAAAATGACATACAATTTGACTACTTCTTTGTACTCCTCTTTCCAGAAGAATTTCTCTATTCGCATTACATGTAGGGGCTATGGAAATGTAACAGGCTTGGAGGAGCCTTATTGTTGTACTCTGAGTCATCTTTTCAAAACAAGTAGCGAAATATGACACGTCCCTGCCCGAAGCCCTGCAACAATTACCCACTGATCTTGGGAAAAGGACCAGTGCTTCATGCATCCCTCTGTCGTCCTCCCTCTCCTAACCCTCAGAGGTTGCAGGGGCTTCAGCTCCACTTCCCTGGCCAGAGTGCTCTTCCCTCCCCATTGTCGTCAACGCTAACTCATCTTCCTGAACTCCAGCCAGCATCTCCTTAAAGAAGCCTGACTGGGAGCTCCGCCCTCCCTGTGCTGCACCGGATCACCAGCCGCTGGACACTGTCCTTCACACGGTCTGTGGCAAATGTCCGCCTGTCCTGCACATGGGAAGGCCCACCAGGATGAGGCTGGGTCTGCTCTCGCTGCTGTGAAATACCTTAGACTAGGTAACAGCTGCTCACAGCTCTGGAGTCCAGGAAGTCCCAGATCAATGCACCTGCAGAATGGATGAATATGTTCCTTTAGGCCTCTTGCATGAGGGTGGAAGTCTCATTTGTGAGGGTGCCTTTTTCACGATCTAAGCACCTTGTAAAGGCCTATCTTATTCTACTATGTTAGGAATTCTATTTCAACATACAAGTTTTAGGGGACATAGACATTCCACCTCAGCAGTCATGTCGGCTACAGTCATTTGCTTTTCACGTCTTTCTGGTGCAACTGCTGCAGGTTCTTGTCCTTGTTCTTTGTTCCTCCCTTCCTGCCTCCTTTTCTCATGAATGGAAAGAATATTTTTGTATCTCATTTTACCCTCTGTGTATTAATTTTTTGCATGATTTATTGCATTCTATCTTCACATAGTGTTATAAAAACGAAGAAATCTTGCAATGGTGCATTTCCAGGGCCCTTCCTGTTTTCTCATCTGCTATTCCTACATATGCTATAAGCACATCAGCTGTTAATATTTTTGCTTTAAACAGTTAATACTTTTTAAACAAACTGAAAAATACTGACATGTCTACATACTGATAGATTCTAAAATGTTTTCTTCTGTTTATCCATTTTAGTATTCTTCATTTCCTCTTAAAAATTTGGGCTTCATTTTGCCATCATTTATTTTTATCCCAAGACATTCTTACCATTTCTTGTGATATGTGTTTGCTGATGGATCCTCTAGGTTGGCTAAGTATGTGCTTTTCTCTTCCATTCTGAAGGCTCTCCTGTGGATAAACAGTTTTCTCAGCAGCCTGCATGGGCAACTCCACTGTATTCTGGCTTCCTGCACTTCTGATGGGCGCTCAGTATCATTTTTATTATTCCCCCCATGTAGCTTTATTTACACAGCTGCTTTAAGACTGACTCTGACAGTGACTTACAGTGTTTTGACAACAATGTGTCTGGGTGTGGTTTCTTCTCATTCACTCTGCCTGGAGCTCACTGAACATCTTGAATCTTTGCATTAATTTTTCCCTTCATTCCTGGCCACAGGTCTTCAAATTGTTCTCCTGCCCTGTTTTCTCTCACTCACCCCTTCTGGGTCTCTGATCGCTACAGGTAGACCACTGACGTCCCACAGGCCTCAGACACTCTGTTCCACTATATTTTCATGCCTTTTCTCCTTGTTTTATGTTTGGGAAATTTCTGTTGATCAGACTTCCAGTTCATTCAATGAATCTTCCCTCTGCTGTGTCTACTCTCCTCTTAAACCATGTGAATTTTATTTCTAATACTACACAGTTTTCATTTCCAGTATTTCCATTTTGGTTTTTTCATAGTTGTTATCTTTGTGCAACACCCCCCAACTCTTCATAGATGTCGTATACTTTTTCAACGACTTCCTGCTCACAGCTATTTCAAAGCCTCTGATAATTCCAACGTGTCTCTTCTACTGACCCTTCTAGCGGCCATGTCCTCTCATAAACATGAGTCCAATTCTCTTGCTTCTTCTAATTTCTGATTATATAACACAAATAGTGTTTTATGAACAATGAAGACTGTGTTTAAAAGAACAGTAAAGATTAAATAACATTTACCCCCAGAATTTACAAGCCAGTGGGCAGG